GGGGCTTTTAGAAAAGTCCACAGTGGAATAGCAAACTTCCTCCGACATTAAGACTGATCCAGATACACGCACCGACAACAGAACCAAAGAAACCAAGCGATACAGACAGATGTGCCAACTTGTCTTCTGACTGATCAGAAAGGACTGACTTAGAGTTACATACAGAAATAGGAACAGGAAGAGAGAAAGAATGGTAGTGTTCTATTTATCTGGTTTACTCACAGTTGTAGCCATTTCCTTTCTATATGTACATCACCAGCTTCTCCTTTTTGGCAAAGCTATTATTTAAGACCAAAAACAGAAATAGTGTCACATGAGAACAACCCACACATAGATATCTGGCAACAGGTGTGATAGACAGTCCCTATAATATATACATACAATAAATCACATGTAAATCCCTAGGATATAGCTCTGATGGGCTAAAGCCATTAAGACATCTGATGTCATCAAATATCAGATTCAGAAAATGAAAAAGCTCAAACAAGAACTCTTGTAACTCTGAGCAGACATGGGTATTTTTAACTGATGTATTTGTTATACATTTCTGTACTATTTACTTTAAAACAACAGCATCAGGGAGCATTGCAGATTTAGACACCCTTTTGCTTAGGACAGTGATCTGAAACACAGAGGACCAATGTCAAGTATTACAGCAGACAAAAAAAACTGGGAGAAAAAGATAACAGAATCCCCTGCTTTAAATCCAACGGAGACGGTTGGGCACGACCTCAAAGTCTACATTTCAATAACAATGGAAACAACCTCAAAGCAAAAACTAGTGACAGCAATCAGCAGGTTCTGGGAGCTGACCAAACAAATGTTCAATAATTACATCAACAGATTTTTCGTGTTTATCCTAATACTATAGAACACGAGGGGGCCATTCAGGATCGTAAGTCTAAAAATATACAGTAATAACAGAATGAAGCATCTGGGCATTTTTAAGAAACTGTGAGTTAGTTCCCTACTACGGACAGTTTCGACACTTCTTGTGTCCTGCATCACTAGATTAGCACATCAGGGAAACAGAATCTCTGTTTTATCTCATACCTCGTGGGTTTTTAGAGGTTTTGTACAATTCTCTCTAATTTTCTGTTATGTTCTTTGTGTTTGAGTTCAGCTGTTGGAGGTTAGAGTGGTTGGCCCACTCTGCACACTTCCCCACATTGAGGGCGGGACTTACAGCTATAATCTTACCTAGTTCTACACTCGGGGGCTGTAAGGTCTCTTCCGAGGTGACGCTGTAGATTAAGATATCCAGGTAGGATGCTGAAAATGGATGACTCCCTTGTAGGGCTGGGGCTCCATGCGGTCCAAATGGCAAGACTGTAAATTAATGTGGGCCGAGAGGACTACTGTTGGCTGACAATGGCACTTGCTAGTACCCTTTGCAGAGGTCAAGGTTAAGTGTGGGGAAGGAGCTGGCCTTACCCAGGCCCTTCAGTTGTTCATCTATCCTTGGCATCTGGTGAACATCGTAGTGACCCATTGTTAGGCCTTCGAAAGTCTAAACAGAATCCCTATCTTTTCTTGTACCCGTTGGTCTTTCTTTAATAGACATGTAATCCTTCATCTAGGTGCACCGTGGCCGACACCTCAAGTTCTGGACATTTATACAGCAGCTGTAGTCCCCATCTTGGACACATCTTGTTACTCCCCAGCTGCTACCACCTTCATTACAATCTCAGGCCTCTCCCTCCATTCCTTCAGCATGTTCATCTGATACACCTGCCTTCTTTTCATTCGACCACAGAATCGCATATGTGACTGTCCCTGTCCTCGATATTTCGTATAACCCATGCCACATTGTCAGAAGCTTGCTTGTTGAGATAGGCAGCAGAAGTTGTACTTTCAGGCCTGGGGACAGTTCCGGCTTCCAGGCACACCAATCATAACATATTTGATTTCTCTATCCTTTTTCTAGGTTTTCCTTGGCTTTTCCTTAAATGTCCCTTAAACGGTAGATCATCTACAGTGCATATTAAATGAATTGCCCTGAAGAGCAAAAGTAGATGCTTCTTGAATAGTTGTTCTGAGAGATTTTAGTTCTTCACCTAGTCCTTCTTTCCGTTTTGCTGAGCCACCAGGAAGTCCTTAAATTGACCCGGTTAATCTGCCACTTGCCAGGTCTGGTTTCAGTAGTTTCCCCAGTGGTTTGGGTTGCACCCTGCCACCCAACGTCTTCTTGCAGGGGAAGTGCTGGCCAGGACATGCCCTTTTCCAAAACCGTGAAAAGAAAACAATGACATAACAAACAACAACAACAACAACAACAACACGATATGTTGGGCCCTGGAGGGGAGGCTGTAATCAACCACACAAATATTCAAACACTCAAGCAGAGGGGTGGGGGGGAATATAAAAAAGTAATCAGAAAACAAAAACCATGACAAAGTACACTCTCGAACTAGGGGAGAAAATACTACTACACAAAACGACAAAAAACTGTTACTCTGTAACAACCTCACTACTCTTGTCTCACCAGCTCCACTGCTACGCAGTTCAGCTCCACATATAAGGCACAGACTTGAACACATATAAAAGACATCAAAACAAAAAACAAATGTACACAAATATTTAAGTCCACTCACTACCATAATGGAGAATTCACAGAATTTCACAAAAAGTTAACAGTCAAGCAGGAAACAAATGATTATCATTTTAACAAAGGATGATCTTTTCCCTTCTTCGCCAGTTCCCCCCCTCTTTGTATAGTATGTTCCTCTGGTCGGGACTACAGGACTGAAACAGCCTGCTCTAGGCACACACTCATCTCCAGGACCCTGTGTCGTTATGTGTAGTTCAGCCCCGTATTACACCCCAGATACAGGCGGGTTCAGCAAGCTTCTACTCGGTTTAAACCTCTCCTTTCTCGTCTGGCGCTCTTGCTGTTAACTATCAGGGCTTGCAATGCATCTCAGTCTTTCCCTCCTCCCCGCCCCCTCCACTGCGCATCCTATTGTACATGTGCACCCACCAGCTGCGAAATGATTGGGGGGGGGAAATCATTTTTTTCCCCCACTTTCTCCTCCATGCATTGACAAACTGCTCCTGCATAATGAAAATGCTGAGCTACGCGACAGGAATCAGTCACACACCTCTGTGGCACTTGTTACACACAATTACTGATAATTCTGTAGATTGAATGTAATTAACAAACTATTCCTATTAATGTTTGCAGTATTGCGACCTGCATTATCTCACTTGCAGTATTGTATAATCATGGGGTTTAATTACATTGTTGCGAGTATTGTATGCATATGATAAGATTAGCATGGGAAAGCACTTATGGCCCAATAAACATTTGATACTGTACTGATTTATCTGACCATCACACACAGCTGTAGGACTGTAAGGATTCACCACACCACCTGGCCAATTTACAGAGCAGTGCTGTTCTGCATCAGATTGTCCCAAAAAATAAGAATACCACATACGGCAGTAGCTGATGCAGTATGACAGACAGAACTGCATCACCTACTGCTATACGTAGTGTTCTTAGCAAGACTTACTGCTGCCTACTGACTGACACCTCACGCATTCTGGGTGGTTGCATCTGGATGTTAATATGCTGCTTTCAAATATCATCTTCACTCAAAAGGCCAAACCACATTTTCGCCTATGTCTTGATTCAAGACAAAAGCCTTTCAGTAATTTAAGCTTTGGGATTGTTTTGCACTTTTGATCATTTTTTTTTTAATTTTGTTAGGCCTTTGAGAAGGAAGTTATGCCAGCAGCAGATAGGAATGTCTGTAAGCAGGAGTGATGTCTGAGAATATCTGCATGCAAGGCAGTGGTCATCATGGAAAAATTAAGTTTTTCCTCACAAACATTGGAAATTCACCATGAGGGATAGAACTAGAAACTGTAAACATGATTAATGGCTCTTTGACTAGACAGAATGCTCAGATTAATCCAGTCCAGTGTCTCCATACCCTGGTCCTGAGGGTCTTGCTATTTTTC